GGCCCTCACTCGTCTTACAAGTACACGATTAGATACTGCGAAGAATGATAATGCGCTTTGAGACTTTTCAGATTGCTAGTGCAGTTGGTATGTGATGTGTAGTCATGTGATTAAATGTTTTATAAACCATATGCGAAAAAATGAATAGATCGCTGTAGATTAGATGCTTATGTCATTAATGGGTAAAGATGCTCTCCTATAGCTTTACTTATCAAAAAGGACTACTAGAATCTGTTCATGGTAAACTAACGGATTTTTTTTGAGAAACCGGATTTAGAAAAATAGAAAAGATCACATAAAATAACTTCTTTTGCTCCTATCAATAACTAATTTCGTATATTGGAGACTTTCTAATCACGCCAGAAGGAATTCTGTATGATAGGCCGTAAATATCTCGATGAATCACTTTAGTGACATAATTAATGGCCGGAAAAGTCGTTCGAACAGTCTATCTTGTTTAATAAACGTCAAATATGTTTCCGGTTGACATCCTTATTATCGAGAATCATTGAGAGCACCTTATTCTTATGAAGGGAAAACATGTATACATAAATCGGATCTTGCTTCCACTATCATTATATAAGTATATTGAACTGCTTTTCTTCCATCAAAGCACTTTTTTGCTTTATGCGGTTGATAACTAGTCAGTTTTGGCTAAGGTGAGCATCTTATTAGCTTTTGCCTTATCTTTTGATAGGATTGCATCTATGTCTTGTTTCAGCCCTTAACCAACACCACTGAGGTTGTAATTTGAAACACTGAAATTCAATCCGTACAATGAAGTTCCTTTTCGAAGTAAATCTTGTAACTTGCGAATGCAGCGCTCAAATGATCCATCCCAATAATTTTACTTTCCTTATTTAGTGTTGCATAAATATGCCACGTGAAACAGAACCTTTAATCAATTTATACAACCAAAGACGGAGTAGTGAATGAATGAAACAAAAATCTCTAGAAAAAGTCATTAACCATCGGAACATATCATAAAATAGTACAAATTTATAAGAGATAAATTTCAAGAAAAAAAGCTGAAATGGCACTCGAGACTCGGCCTTCTACAATTTAATACGAAAACAGCTGACTTATAAATTCAAAAGTTCTTTGATTCAAAAATCTGATTCAATCAAAAAGCAATTTGAACATCAGTCCTTCCTTCTCATTCTAATGACTTGCTACTAACTTATTTTATACACTATACATATTTTCGAATGAAATTTTCTCTTGGAGTACATCAATTGTTAGCAGTTGAATGGTTTTTTCTTACACTTCACAAGTATCATTGCCGATACCCACCTGCTTTGATCCCACTTTTCCTCTTTTGAACTTATTTTTCAGAGATAATGGTAATTGTTGTCGTAAAGAGTTGAGGCATATATTAATCTGCTTCTTTGCGAAAGGGAAAATAATGAGAGCGTACCTCAACGATTGTACGCGCTAGAGATTTAATTTAGCAGATGCTTCTATGAACGGTTTTGAGGGATTTCTGTGGATTTTCATCATTTTACATTGTTTGAAAGAGCAAATCATGTCCTTTCCAACAGCT